TACTGGCTCTGCCACTTACCAGCTATGATGCCCCTCTATGCCTTATCAGTAAAATGGGGAGAGGGAGGTCACCTGGCACTCTGAGCTATCAGCTCCAGGGCAGCAGTGACGAATTACTGGAATCAGTTGCCACAGGATTAGGGGAAGACCCTAATATAATAAGGGGTGGAAGTCAAGGTCAGCCCTGGGTTGGCAATGGTTGGTGGCAGGAATCACCTTCCATCCACGTCCACGATGGTCAGAGCTGTCAAGGCCTGTACAGAGGCTCGGCCTGGAGCTGAGGGGTGTGGGCTGAGTGTCACTGCTGCCTAACTACCCCTAAAAGCCCAGGACCCCCCACCACCTATCAGCTTCCTCCCTTCTTAGAAATCAGCCCTCTCACTAGCCAGCACCTGAAGGATCAAAACAGCTTCTTACCAAGTGCAAAGATCTTACACTGCCACATTCATGCCCTGCGACAACCCTGAAGCAGGAATTATTCCATTCTACAGAGGGAGGAGCTGGAACTTAGAAGGGTTTTGTGAACTTCCCGACCCTCCTTACTCCTCACATGAGTGGAAGGAGGAAGTGAGTTTAGATCCTAAGAATTTCCCACTTAAGACTCTGCTCATAAACACTTTGCAGAGAGTAGTAGTCATACCTTTCCTTTAAGAACCCCAGGTGAGGGACACCATGGTGCATGTTATGCCTGAAATTCCAGCTACTCAAGACACTGAGGTAAGAGGATCACAAGTGTGAGGCCAGCCTCAGCAACCTAGTGAGACCTGGTCCCAAAATGAAAGATAAAAAGGACTGGAGATGTAGCTCAGGGTAAAGCATCCCTGGGTTTTATCCCTAGTATTTTTTTTTAAAGAATATTTACTTTTTAGTTTTAGGTGGATACAATATCTTGATTTTATATTTACATGGTGCTGAGGATGGAACCCAGTGCCTCATGCGTGCTAGGTGAGCGCTCTACCACTGAGACACAACCCTAGCCCTATCCCTAGTATTGAAGCGAGAAAACAAACAAAGAAGAATTGAATAGAGTCCCAGGAGGTGGGCTGGGTGCACCTCAGGGGTATAGCGCTTGCCTAGCATGTGCAAGGCCCTGTGTTACATCTCCAGGAGAGGCGGCTAGCTCCGTAGGAGTCACTCAGCTCTATCCAGAGCAGAGTGGGAAATTCTCCAGGTCTGGGGCCAGGAACACTAACCCTTCTGAGAATGGACTAGAACTGGGGCCCACTCTCTGGTCTTCCCAGGGACCCTCCATCTAAGCTTTGCACTGTCCAGATGGAGGGCTGCCCTGGTCCTCAGAGCCCCCACATGCAGCTTTGTGCTCATCTCTCCTGCTAGCTGCACTCCGCCTCTTCTGGCAGATTCTCCCCCCAGCAGCTGGGCCCCAAATCTGCAGAGAACTGTCAGGGAAAAGATGGGGTCTGGCAGACACTGCCCCTGGCCAGTGCCTCCCAGTGACAGAAGGTGGCCCCACCTTCCCCTATGGGCACACTCCCTCTGTCAGGTGGTCTTGCTGAGAGGGGCATCTGTCTCATCTGAAATCTGCCCACTCCCCCTCACACCCTTCTCAGCCCTTATCCTTCCTTAATTGGGTCCTCCTGGCTTTATTTGAGTAGCCTGGCAGCCTCATTAGGAGAAAGCCATCCGTTCTGTCCAGGGGAGTTGAGATGGATGCAGAATTTCACCCATTCTGATGATAAATTATAACACTTTATATGTTACAAAGGAAACTGCCTGAACTTTTCAAAAGGGCGAAGAGCTAATAGGAAAGTTTCTCAGAGACTTTTATACATACATACCTGTCAGTCAGGCTGGAAGGAAAGGCATAGATTTGACAAATTGCACAGTGGTTAAGGACACTTGATGCTAAACTGCCTGGGTCTGACTCTCACTTTGGCTCCCTTACCAGCTTTGTGGTCTTAGACAAGCTACTTATCTCTCTCTGGGTCATATTTGCAAAATGAGGATGATGATACCTTTCTTAATTGCTAAGAGGATTAAATAAATTAACATACAAACCACTTGGCACAGGGCTTACCATAGAGTTAGCAATCTAAATATGGTAGACATAGTACAGGGTGCTCAAGTTCCTGTTGCAAGTAAAGGTAACCTTTTATAGAATTCTACAGCACAGGAGCAACAATCCCATTAGTTGCACATTATCTTACTCTTGTAGATGAGTCAATTGAATGGGAGATAGTGTAAGTGGTTGTGAAGGGGAGGGGCAGAGGAGGGGACCAGGAGGGGTCTAGGTGCTCCCTCTGCATGTGGAGTCTGGCATGTCACCCTCTGGAAGCAGAGTTCTTCCTCCCTGGCTTCCCTTGGCCTAGACGGACAGATAAGGTGGCCAAGGGTGCAGGACTGAGCAGGACGCACTGGGCAGTATGATTGCTGAGGGCAGGGTCCACACCTCTTAGCTCCTTTCTGCATTTATTCAACAAGTAACTGTTGAGCCACCAATGAGTGTTGAAAAACGCTCATCTCTGGAGGGATAAGTGCAAACAAGGAGGCCATAGCACCAGGTTTCATGGAGCTTAGCATCTGGCTGGGGGAGAAGGCGGATACAATAAGGTCACAATCTCTGCTGGAACAGGGAAAGCAATGTGCTAAATTTCTGGGTCAGACAACAGAAAGCTTGTGGGGAAAGCTCTGTGCAGGATGTAATAGGAAAGCTGAAGTTTGATTAGGGGTCCATCAGGTTCAGGGCTCAGGAAGTTTCCAGAGAGAGCAGCACATTGGTGCTCAGAGATGAGAGCAACTCCCTCTGGCCAGGTGAGCAGGAGACTCACGTGGGGCAAATCTGGGTGAGACTAGGAACTGAGGCCAGGGTTTGCCTGAGATTCTGAGGGCTCTGGGAACATTGTTTGGGTTTGAAGTAAGCAAATAATTGATTTCTTTGTTTAGAAAGATCAGAGATGGATTAGGAGGAAGGCGAGAGATTGGGAGGCCAGTTCAGAAGCTGTTGCAAAGGACAAGACATGAGGTGATGGGGGACATATCAGGACATGGCGGTGGGGTGAAGGGAGGTGGAGACCAGGTGTGAGAAACACTTTGGAGATTAGTTTATGGGGCATACCAGCCAGACCTTTCAGTTTGAATGAGAAGCAGCTTTCCCTGAGAATGAGGAGTAGGATTCCCTGAGAATGAGGAGTAGGTTTCCCAGCAGCAGCAGAGGAGAAGCAGCCTTGGGGAGAAGATAAGAGGTTATACTGGGACAAGGTGGGTTTAGACATGGTGGACACAGAAGGTCGTATTTTGTAGGAGGAGCAGGAATCAGGGACCTGGATTGAGTTTAGGAGAGATGTAGACCAGAAATACAGATTTGAGAATCAGCAACACATGGGTGTCACTAGGATATGAGCACGAATGTGATCAGCCCAAGAGTTAGTGAGTGCAGTGGAAAATCAAGCAGACAGAACACACCTGAGAGCTGGGGGTGGAGGAAGAAGGCCCAAGAAAGTTTCAAGTGGGAGGGCCCTTGGGAGTTAGCAGGAAATTCAGGAGATCTGAGACGTGGGAGGCCTTTCAGGAAGTGGGGAAAGATAAATTGTATCAAATCTGCCTGGAAGTCAAGTAGAGAAGAATCCACTGGATTAATAACAGATTGTTAGTGATATTGGTTTTCATGAAGAAAGGGTGGGGAGGAATGCAGGCTGGCTGCGTGGGGCAGAGAAATGGAAAGTGGAAACCCAGGCAAGGAGGCCACCCAGGTAGGAAGTTTGGTTCCCTGTAATGGACTTATGATTGATGGATAAATAGGTAAATAGATGATACACAGTATTTACATCAATCCACAGACAAGATGGCTGCAGGATCATGTTAAGCTAGAAGCACCTAGAATGTGCCCCACGTAGATAGAAGGAGCCAGCAGAGGCCGAGAGGGGAGAATGGCTAGATAGAAGGAGTATTTTGGCAGAAGGAGAGACCTGGCTTGGTTTCCACTGGGTCAGGGGGAAGGTAGAGATAGGTTCCTCAGTGTGGTGAGAGGAGCTGAGGAGGGACCTTCTGGTGGCTTCCATTTTTGCTGTGAATGCTAGCTACTGGCATTGAGGTTTGAGGAGAAACATGAGTTGGAATACCTGCTCTGACCAGGCACCAGGAAGCTTTGGGTCCAGCAGGGACCAGAGATGTACAGCACCCTGAGGGTGTGAATGTCCCTGTCCTGTGCTGCTTGCATCTTGGGGCAGAACCCAGATGTAGGGATCCTGCTGCAGGATGTAATAGGAAGGCTGCTTGGGAAGCCAACCTGGTTACCATGGCAACAGCCACAGAGCAGGCTTACCCGTCTAGCTTAATGTAGGAGTGGCCAGAAGAAAAAAAGAATATCCAGGGAAGGGGGAGGGGCACTGTAGGGATTCTGAGGACACCGGTGTAGAGTCTCGGCTTTGCCTCTCCCCAGCTATACATCTCAGAGATGTCCTATCACCTCTCTGTACCTCCATTTCCTCATCTTGATCCTATACCTACATCACATGGTTCTGGTGAGGATAAAATGGATATTGTGTGTGAGGGTGCTTTGTAAACACAGTACATGAAGACCTCTGGTGTGAGACTGTGTGTAGCTGGCACACGGGAGACACTCAGCAAACAGTAACTGCCGTTACACGTCACATCCATACTCCTGGGGTGGATAAGAGGAACCATGGAGACCGCAGATCTGTGATAACCAAGGCCATAAACGGCACGAGGGGAGGGTGGTGTTGGCAGTGAACTCTGACCAAAGAGGCACTATCAGAGCTCCAAAGAAGGTTGGCCATGGTGTGACTAGGGCTTGGGGCTGTTTCTGAGGCCACCAGTCCTCTCTGGGACTGCTCCGCCCTAGTCAATGGGGCCAGCCCTAGACTTCCAGGCTGAAGAACCCCACTCTCCACACAGCGCCTCTGCCTCATGCAGAATAAAACCCAGAGAGCCCCTCTAGACTCCTAGGCCCAGGTTCCCTGAGGGCTCCTGGGGAGGGGAAGAAAGTATAGAGGGTCCAGAAAAAGAGACAAGCAGAGGCCAGGTGCCAGTGTCATAGGCCTGAGACTTTAATGTCCTGCTGATGGGAGTGGCCTTGTGACAGATAGACACTAGCACTGGCCAGGGCTTTTAGAATGACCTTAGAAGTTCCAGCCAATCATGCTTCTTGCTGGTGAGGGAAGGGCCTGTCCTGCCCATCTACTTCCTCCCAAGTTTTGGAGATGGTTCCTGACCACCCTTGTTCAGCCAGGCGTCTAGCCACTGAAGGGAGGGAGGCTGCTGTGGTGCTAACACTTGTCCCTCCAGCAGTCTCCCCCTGCCCTTGGTCATGTCAGCTCTAAGCCCAGGCTGATTCTGTGTCGGCCGTCACAGCCCGGGAGGAATCAGGGTCTCCTGTGAGCCCTGATGCTGGTCAAGGCTGCCCAGGGAAGACCCGAGGCTCAGGCCTCCCACGGCACCAGACGGGCCCTCTGGGGTCTGTCGTTCTCTCAGTAGCTCTGTTGCTGCCACCTCCACTTCCTCTGGTTCCATCTGGCAGGCATCTGCCAGGGCCTGGCCTGTCGCCATGACGAAGCCAGCGTCAGCCGCCAAGGAGTCCAGGCCCCCTCGAACCAGAGCCTGCAGGGAGAGGAGGGGGCTAGGCAGGGTCTTCCTGGGAGTGGTCTTTGGTGGGGGAAGGTCTGCTTCTGTTGACCCTACCCCCTCTCCATGCCAGGCTGTCACAGGGCCATCTGCCAATGTAGCCAGCTGCTCTGTCCCAGCCTCTCCTCACCTCCTGGATCAGCAGGGCTGTGGCTGGAGCTGGGCACCTGGAACGGCTCTCCTGGGAGCTCCTGCTGCGAGCTGCTTCCGCGTGCAGAGAACCTGGCATGGAGCGCTTCCTTTCTTCTCGAACGGGAAGCTCTGCCCTGGGGCGCTGTTTCAAATGCACAAAAGCAAAGACCCCAACAGGTTTGCTGGAACCCACAGATGCAGTGAAATCCCAGCACATCCAAAGCGGTCTCCAGCAAGATCCATGGAAAGGAGAAGATCCAGGAACCTCATTTTTTTTCTGTTATGGGTGGGCAAACTGGCGCTAGGCCCTTCCCCTATCATAGCTCGCTCCTAGCACTGCATCAGGTAGGGTCTCTATATGGAGTTTGCTCCCTGTTCTCCACCCCTTTACCTGGCAGGGGGCAGGAGGTGTCTGGCAAGTCGGCCATCCATTCAGGTTTTCCACATGGGGCTTGCTGAGAGGTCCTGTGAGCAAGGACAAGAGGACTGTTGGCTCAGGCAGGCAACCCCGTACCAACTCCCTTGGCCAGGTGTGGAGGGCGGCTTAGAGGGTGGACACATGCTGCAATTGCCCAGGTCTCCTTACCCTACTCTGGGTTTGGGAGAGGGGCTCTGGGCCAAGTCTCTAGCTAAGCCATTCTTCAGTGTGTTTGTGCATGTGAAGGAGTGTGTGTCAGGGAACAGGGACACTGATCTGCAATGTCCTCAGGGTTACTACTGTTACACAGTGGTCCAAAACCCACTGTCAGACTCCAAGATGACCTGCTAAAGGGCCCAAGAACCAAGGTAACAGTGAGTCCGGGAGCTGCCCTTCTGTGGGACCTGGGAGAGGGCAGACTCCCACGCTGGGTGAGTTTCAGGCAGACCTGGAAGAATGCAGGCTCCCCTACCCGCCTCTACCTAGAAGCTTCTCTGCCTGGATGAGGAGCTGGCCTCGTGCTCTTCCACCCCAGGACCCAGCTGGTTCCCACTGCCACAGGCCCCAAGACAGCCCTCCCAGCTGGGTTGCCAGACTCCAAGGAAGGAGGGAGGCTCCCCAGGCCTCCTCAGGAGAAGGCTCAGCTTCTCAGGTCGGCAGAAGACTGACCCAGGGCCTTGCGGGCTTGGCTGAAGGTTCCTCCTCTGGCAGCAGGTGTCTCTGACTCTTCTGGAAATTCCCTTTCATAGTGGACACTGAAATGGAAACAAGGCCAAGTGAACCAGAGCAGGCTTCCGGGTCTCTGGACATCTCTGCTCCTCTGTGGCCCCAAATCCTTTCACTCAGGGTCTGGACCCATCATAGCACAGGGGCCTTGACTCTAGTGATGCTCTCACCTCTCTGCACAGCTATCCCTGACTTTGGGGGTGTGAGCCTAATGCCTCCCCACCTCCACTCCTGTTCAGTGGTCCCCTCTACCCTCTCCACATTTCATGCAGCCTCACAACCTTTAGGACCCTGGTTCTTGACCTTGGCTGCACAGAGGACCCTCTGGGAGCTTTAAGGAATAGTAGTGACTGTCTCACTCCCAGATGATGGGGGTTTGGGAAAGCTCCTTATATAATTCAAGCATGCAGCTGCAACTGAGAACTATTCTAGACCTTTCTAGTCCGTGGTGATCAATATCCTTTCTGTACTCTCAGGACATGAGTCATATCACATGACACATCCCCTAGCAGCCTGGCCTAGGTCAGATGCATCTCTATTTTCACACCACTTTGCACCAAAGTCTAAAGTCCGGCGTGCCCTTCAAGGCTTCTGGGATGAGTTCAAGGGGCTTCTCCAGCTGGGATGGGGTGTAGGCAGCCCTGGCTGTGGAAAGTAGCTGTTCAGATGACTTCTACCAAAGCTCAGCTGGCTTTCGGCCTAGAACGGGAGCTCCGCTTTGAGCCCAGCTCCTGGGTCATGTTGGCTGATCAGCTTTTTCCCTTATCCTACCCTTTTTTTCCATGACACTCAGGTAGTCACCGATTATATTTAGTCTTTAGCCTGGTGTTGGTGAGGTGGAGCCCAACTCCAACATTTGAACCTTATCACCCACAGCCTTTTGTAGTCTGTGCTGCTGAGGTAGGCCCGCTCTTTCTAACCTGTAATATGCCCTATAATATATCTCAGCTCTAGGACCTGCTGCAGAGGATGAAACCAAAGGTCCCCTCAGCATTTGGGCCAATGCTGACATGAAACTGCCCCCTGCTGGCCACAGGCATCTCTGCACCCCAAATCTGCCCCTTGCATTAAGGTGCTGAGGATCCCCAAGGGCATAAAGGCAAGCAAAGGACACCTCATAAATCTCAGGGCTCCCTCTTCCCATCTAGCCTGCAACCTGCTAACCCTGACTCCTCAGTCCTATCCTGGTATCTAATTGCTTCCATTACCTGGAAAACACAGAGCTGTTGCTACGGTCACTGTTGCCATGGGCAACATTAGCATTGGCATTGTTGGTATTGGCACGAGCAAGTGGGTTGGTTCTTGGATCATGAGGGAAGTCCTCCAAGAAGACAGGGGACTCCAGCTCCTCCATCTCTATCTCAGAAAACTGGAGGGGTCTTTGATTGGCCATGACGGGGGGCAGGGAGTTGGTCCTTTCCAGGAAGTTGTCCACTTGGCCAAACAGGCCTCCAGTCCTCTAGAGGCAAGGAGAAGAGTGAAGGGACCGAGATTAGTGACTGAGGGATGAGGGTTGGAAGGGGACTGGGGGCTGTCACCCAGGATGATGGTGCTGGAAACAAGTTATGGATTGGAGACAAATCCCATGAGGCCAGAGGGAAATGGCCTGAGCAGTGAGACCAGGCAAAGAGAATCCCACCCTCAGAAAGGTCTCAATGTGATGGGACAGACAGGACATGGCTCAGGACATGTACAGGATACACCGACACATGGATAGGGAAATGTTGTGTGGTGGAGAGAACCCTGAATTGGGAGTCTGCAGAACTGGGTTCTAGCCTCCTTGAAGTTAAGTATTGCACATCTCACACCATCATTTCCTCATCAGTAACCCGAGAGGGTTCAACAAGGTGCTCATAAAGAATCTTCCACCTTGAAAGTGTTAGAAGAAAACTGGACAGAGCTCAGGATCAAGGACTGGCATAACATGAAATGTTGATGAGGGCTTGCAGGGAAGGTGGGAAAGGGTGTGTTATGCTTAACACCTCGTCCCATCAGCTCTCATGTCCACCTCCTGTGTGGCTGGACTCCTGGCCATTCTCTCTGTTACTGCTCACTGTGTCTAGACCATGAGGGGTGGCCATGATCCTCACTCACCCGGAATATTCCTTCCTCCATTGCAGCCTCCACCATGGCTCTCTCCAGCTCCTCCTCAGCTGTCAGGTCCCCTGAGATGGTGCGGTGGATCTCAGGGGCTGCTTCTTCCTCTATGGTCCTCAGTCCAGCCTGAGGATGGAGAAGTGACCTGGTGAACCTTCTAGACCAGGGGCAGAGACTAGAACTGCTTTCCCCACTCATTTCTTATCCCTGCACCTGGGGGGTCTCCTGAAGCCTGCTCTCCCTCCTGTCTCATTCAAGATCACAGGGCTCTGTGAAGCTCCCAGACCCTTCTCTGGTGGCAGTGATAGTCCACACTCTAATAGTTACCAAAGAGTCTGGTCTTAATTCCATTGGTAGAGATTTTGTGTCTGCCCCAGGCCTCTGGGTTGAGCAATCTTTTTACTGTATGTGCGTGTGTGTGTGTACATGTGTGTATGCCATAAAGAAATTAACAGAGTACTGAGACCAGAAGGAGAAGAGAATCCTCACCTTCAGAAAGGTGTCAATTTGATGGGATAGACAGAAGAGACACAGGCATACAGATAGGAAAATTTAATGTATCGTCATATCTATATGTCTACATATCTATACATTTATCTATCTATCTATGTATCTATCATAAGTTGATCAAAGTTCATATCACCCACAAAGGGACAAATCAAAATTGGTGTCACCTGGTAGTTTGCAATGAGGACACAGTAACATTTCTGTAACTGACAAGATGCATATCTTATACCTGATATAAGGACACATCAGACAAACCCAACCTGAGGGACATCATGGCCTATAATCCTCAGAAGTGTCAAGGTCATGTCAAGGAAAGACAAGGAATGTTCCAGATGGAAGCGACTAAGGAGAGATGGAAACTAAATACAATGTGTGATTGGCTCCTTTTGTTAAAAAGGACATTATTGGGACAACTGGTGAAACTCAAATGAAGTCTGAGGAGTAGATGGCAGTAACATATCAACATTATTTTCTGATTTCTTTTTTTATATATTTTTTTAGTTGTAAATGGACACAATATCTTCATTTTATTTATTTACTTTTATGTGGTGCTGAGGATTGAACCCAGTGCCTCACATGTGCTAGGCAAGTGCTCTACCACTGAGCTACAACTCCAGCCCCTATTTTCCTGATTTCGATGGTTGCATTGTGGTTATGTAGGAGAAGACTCATGTGTGCAGGAATATACTTTTTCATGTGTACATCATGGAACATCAAGGGTTGAGGGAACATTATGTTAATGTTACTCAACAGTTCAGAAAAAAAGGTTTTGTTTTTTACTAGTAAACTTTTTAAAGTATGAGATTATTTTAGTATAGAAATAGCAATTTAAATAATGTTCTGTGCATACAGCACAAATGCATGCACATTTTTGATTTTATAGATTATGTGCATTACAATGAACACAAAAAATAGAAACAAAACCCACATAAGATAAAACAAAGTTCTAAAGCTTTCTTTTTCATACACTATGTAGCATTTTAAGTACCCTGGGGGAATCTTCTTTCTTTGGAGACTATTGCTTTTGTCTAACTCATCTCTCCTCTGAACAAATCCCATTTTATTCTGTTCCACCATCCAGAGGTGAAGAGCTCCTGGTTCTCCTGAAATTGATATGTGACTCATGGAGGACCATCCAGAATTATCATCTCATTTCCTCACTCCTCCATCCCCAGACTAAATTCCAGAGGGAACTGGAAACTTGGCAGGAGTCCCTTGGAACTTGCCTGGGTTGGACTTACCTGGATCTGTACGGTGTCCTTCTTAGGCCGATATCCATAATATTCTTCCTGGCGTTTTATGAACTTCCGGAAGTGTTCCTGGATGAGGAATGTGGCATAGAACTTCCCCACTGTCACCTCATCATCTGCAGAGGGGCCAACAAAGGATGTCCTGAAGGTTGGTGGGAATCTGGCACAGAGTGGGAGCCAGGTGCAGCTAGGTCCAGCACCCAGGTCCTCCTTGCTGCCTTGGTCGACGGGTACTCTGCACCTTGATACTGGTGGCTGCCTTACTAGATGCCCATGGGGGTCTATCAAGGGTATTTATTGAGGTCTGGGCCATTCTCAGATTCTCATGGGACTTCTCGGAGAAGCTCATTACCCCTTTCTACCTCCGGACTCTGGTCTCCTACAGTAGCACCCACCTCCTATGGGAGGGATGACCTGGTCCAGGAGCTTCATGCTGGTTCTCTTCCAGATCTTCTTGATGATGGCCCTCAGCTCCTCGTTGGCCTGTTCAAAGTTACCTGGGGCAAGGCAAAGGCAGGAGTGGCCCCAAAGCCATCCAGGCCAGGCTGACTGCCTGTGATAAAGCCACCTTAGACTCACTGAGCCCCTCTGAGGGCCACTCATTCACTCAGCCAACCCTGGCTCAGCTTTCTTTTGTGGCAGCTGCTGTGCTAGAGGCTGGCAATGGGACATCCAACCTTTGGGTCACATGTTTGTTTCTCAGAGGCCTTGGCTTCCAGTGCCCAGAGTGCTTAGTGTTCAAGGCTGTCACCCCTGCTCTCTCCCCAGACCTTCAATTCCCAGCCCCTCCTGTAACTCCGAATTGCTCCCCTCTGACTTCTCTTCTTCTCGTTCTCCCAAGGAACCTGCCCTGTGGCTGCCTCAGACATCTTCAATGGTCCTAATGCAGGGGTGGCCCTGATGCAGCCAGAACCCTGAGCAAGGGCTCAGGAACAACTCCCCCCCGCCCCCAACACACACACTCGATTCCTTCCCTGCCACCATGTCCCTCTGCTAGGTGAGTGAGGACCTCCAGGTCTAGTGGAGTTGAGTGTGGACTCCTGTCACTCTCCCAACTAGCTGAGTCCCTCCTCTGCCCCTGTCCAGAGCTGACCTCAGGTGCCCCAGCCCCTGCTAGCCCTGGCACTTCTCTAGCCCAGAGACACAGCCAAGGAGTCTGGGGGCAGATCCTTGGTGAACTTGCCCTGCAGAGAACTCCAGGCTCCCTCTGCTTCTCCCCATGGTTCTTGATTCCAGTCTTGAGCACTGAGAATCTGGCAGGATTGGTGCCCGCTGAGGGCTCTCACCTTCCGTCTTGATCTTGAGGGCCGTGCGCACCAGGGCAAAGAGTGTGGCGTTGAAAGTGACCGTGCCATCGCTGTTCAGGGGCATGTTCATGCCCACCAGCCGCTGTACAAGCAGAGGCAGTGGTTTGTTGTTGAATTGGGACCAGAGGTCATGCTCACCCCATCTGTGGGCCCAGAGGGGATGGGACACGAGATGGGGTGCGGGCAGATCCTAGTCTCTTCCTTTTTTGGGTCCTGCTCATTCCATGAGCAGTTTTCCTCTGCCTCCAGCTCCCACCATGCTGTGTGGTACTCCCCACATACCTAAGACTTAAAAGCAAAGGGTCTGCCCTATCATTTTGGAGTCTCCCAAACTGTGAGCCAAAATAAACCTTTTCTATTCATAATGTGATTACCTCTGGTTTTGTACCAGGGATTGAACTCAGGGGTACTTAACCACTAAGCCATATCCCCACTCCCCCTTTTTAAAATTTTATTTAGAGACAGAGTCTTACTGAATGGCTTAGGGCCTCGCTAAGTTGCTAAGGCTGGCTTTGAACTGGCGATCCTCCTGCCTCAGCCTCCCGAGCCGCTGGGATGACAGCACCACTGTATCTAGCTTTAGGTATTTGTTATAATGACGGAAATCTAACACAGGAAAATGCTCATCTAAAATGACTCCCTCAGGGCCTCAGTTTCCCTGCCCTGTATCACCTGCTCCCTTTCTCCTGGAACCGCCCCTCTCTGGCAGCTCTGGTTACCTTACATGCTACCCGGTGTGGGCAGAACTTCCCAAAGCCCAGCGGGGGCTGGATCCTTCTCAGCAGGGTCACCACATCCAGGTGTTTGATTCTCCCCCTGCAGGAGGACACGGGATCTGTAAACCAAGTAGCCCCACCAGGACCTCCCCTGCTCAGAGAGCAAAGGGCAGGGAGCATGGGACACTTCCTTAATTTCCAACTTTAGGAAGCGGGAGCCTAGGACCCTTTTAAAGGAAGAGACCCTGTTGGGATCCACTGTTGCCCGGTATCAGGAATGGAGGCTTCATTTTGGGAAGACAGAGGCTCTCTTTTTGAGGGGATTCTCTTGGAGAGGGGATCCTCAGGCCCGGAGGCTGGATGTATACTAAGACCTTGTTAGGCTTTGGTCAAGATGTGAGGAGCTCTTGGGCTATATTATCAGAAGTAGAGTATATGGCAAAGGAGGTGCAGACTGGTCCCCAGAACTGGAAACCATATTTTCATTGTGACCATGAATCTCAGAAAAGGCATAAAGCACAGCAGCCGGGAATGACCAAGGTAAGGGCAGCAGATGTGTGTCGCCTTGAAAAAAAAAAATCATTTTTGAGGATGCTATTGACTTCCTTCTTTCTCTGGTCCTGCCTGGGATGGAAGTTGACCATTTTCTGCCTGTCTCCAGAGGGCTGAGTTAGGACTTGTGGATAGCTGGCAGAGACAGTTAGGTTTCGGTTCCCCTGAGGTAAGCAGTTTAAAGCACAGTTGCTAAGGACACCAGGCAGACTTCCCTGGAATTGTGGGGCCATTTCTTAACAACTGCATGAGCTGGGGCAACTTAATCTCTTTGAGCTTCAGTTTCTTCATTTGTGAGATTAAGCTGATCAGAAAACCCATGTTATAGGTTGGAGGAATTAAATAAGATAATACATAGAGTGTTTAGTATAGTGCCTGAAACCTGGGAAACATCCAATAAATGCGAATTTATGACCTTTCTTAAAAGGAATGTAAGAAAGTGGCACTTCCCCAAGCTTTAATGTGCATACAAATCCCCTGAGGATCAGGTCAACAGAAATGAGGATTCTGACTCAGGCAATCTGGGCAGGGTTTGCATTTTAACCAAAGTCAGGTGTGGATGGTCAGTGGAACACACCACTTTGGGTAGCCAGGACTAGGGTGTCTGGTGAGATGTTGAGTTCCCCACCCCTAAGAATGTCCAGGCAGAAGCTGGATGACCTTTTCCCAAGAAAGTCAAGGGTCCTTTCACCTGGGAGGCTTGTGGGACCCCTTCCAGCCCTGAGACACTCTGATCCTCTGGGCTGGGACCTTGGATAAAGGAACAGAGAGTGAGTCCTTCGGGGACACTAGGGTCTAGGATGGAGGATGGACAGTTTAGGGAGTGCCCAGCACAGAGCCTGTGGATTGGACTCACTTAGCTTCCGGGTCATACTCCGCCCAAATGGCCTTGAACTCATCCAGGTGATGAGGGCCCAGGATGGACCAGTCTCGTGTGAGGTAGTCAAAGTTGTCCATGATGACAGCCACAAAGAGGTTGATGATCTGCAAGAGGAGGACCAAGGGCTCCCAACCGGAAAGGCAGGAGATGCGGGTGCAGGCGGAGGTGGGAGGCATCCCTGGGTGGGGGGACGCGGGCTCTCCCTCCCCATGGCCCTCGTCCCACATTTCACACACAAGGCGGTGTCTATCTCTTCTCTTGCGCAGGCAGGTGCTGTGTTAGGGTTCCAGTGCCTGTTTTTTTTAAAACCCAACCCGAGTGCCTCTTTGGGAGCTATCCCATCTCAGCCTGCCATCTGCACCTGCGAGGCACTCTGCCCTCTTCTGCACCCTAACCTGTGGCCTTCTTGCTGCCTCTGCCTTTTCTGTCCAGAGTTGGGGGGAGTCCCTTTGAATCACAAGGTACTTGAACTCCTTTGTCCCTGTGAGTTCCATCAAGGCCAAGACTGGGTCTCACTCAACTTTCTCTCTCCTGTACTCGACCCGGGGCCTGACACATATCAGATGCTCAAATAATAGTTTTGAGGGAATGTAGGAAAGAAAAAGGAATAGAGGAACAAGGTCCCCATGATGGCTTCACAGACAGCGACCCTGCGGTCTCAAAGTGACTTCATACTTTTTCTAATGCCAACTGGGACTTCCTGTGGGATCCTGTTTCCAGATTCTCAGCCTCCTCATAATTGGACAACTTTCTCTTCCAAGGAATAATTAGGTATAAATATCTTTAGAGGAAGTCCCCACCTATGGAGGGTATGACCTCATTAAATTCCTTGTGCTTAACTAAATGTGTGTCTATATGCGTGCATGTTTATGGGTGTAGTAGAAACTTCTGGTAATCCCTCTAGAGCAGGAAAAAGTACTCTCAAAACAAAACCACCCCCAAGATGACCAGAACAAAGGGCACTCTAACCAGATCCTCAGTGTCCCGGAGATGGACCCCTGGAGAGATGGAGAGGAAGAAGGCGGGCCCACCACCCTCAGCTCAGTCCGTCCCTTCTGCCCTGCCCCAGGTCTCACCAGGAAGGCGCAGAGCATGTAGAAGCTGATGAAGTAGTAGTAGGCGAAGTTGGTGCCGCAAGTGTACTCCTCGCCCGGGGCATAGTCCGACTCTGGGTCACACAACTTTCCGTAGCTGCAGGCCAGCAGGATCTCCTGCCAGGCCTCACCTGTGGCACACCTGGAGGAGAGAGGCTCCTGTCAGCCTGTGCACTCTTGTGTGGTCCCTCAGGGGCCCATCAGCCCAGCCAGGGCAGGCGTGATGAGCAGATGGGGGCTGCTGCCACAGAGATGAGGAGGTTAGATCCTAGGTCACCGTCCCTGCAAGCCCGTCTGTGGTTTTTCTCTGTGCGGGAGCCCCTCAGCTCTACCATCGTGGGGTGCTACCACCCGGAGCTCAATTATAGAAAAGAGGTTTCTTGGATGGAGAGGCAAAATCGGTCCGTGGTTCAAGTCTCTAGACGGGGAACAGTCAGAGTGAGCACACTGACTAAGGCGAGGCAGGCTCAGAGGCCGTCGAAGCCTCACTACTCTCTTGGGAGAGGCATCGGCCTCTGTCATCTCCTCCAGTGGAGTGAGAAAGAGGAACATGCAGCCCTCCATTCATTGGAGGCTGCGTGAGACATGATCGTGTGAAGCCACTTGTTCACAAATGATTAAAACCTTCAAGACGGTGACAGTAGGGCATTACGCCAGGCAGGGGACCTTTCTGAGTGCTTGGCTGTGTGGAGCTAATGCTGTCCCCAGGGCAGTCAGCACAGAGCCAAGGCCAGAGGGTCAGTGAGGTGGGGGGTCGTGGGGGACTCCTGCCTGAAAAGCAGCAGCACAGCTTGTGGGAAGGTCTGGAAGTTGTTGTTCCGGTTTATTTGGGTCCCATCCACCATGGCAATCTTCCCAAACATCTGCAAGTCACAAAGGGCTGTAGCTTAGGAACCTAGATACAAGCGTCCCCTCCGCTCACCTCCCACGTCTTCTCCTGCCCGACCTGCTCCTTGCCTTCACCCCTACCTCTCCTGAGCCCTGCTCACTTTGGTCCACAGCAGGTCTGAAGCCATATAAATGGGACTATTTTCTCAGTTGAGTAACATTCTTCCCATCAGGCCAAAGAAAAGTAGGAGAGTGAACCATTTTTTCCCGACTGCAGGCAGACCCAGGGTGTTGTGGCACGGCAGAGGGCTCCTGGGGAAGGGCCCCAGCCAAGGCCTTAGGGTTGAGATCTGGCCGCTGCTGCCCATCTGCCTGCCGAGGGCTCTCCTGGGTCACCTCCAGGCTCCTACCCTGTGGCATCTGGGCTAAGAAGTGCAGCCTCTCTTCTCAGCCTCTCAGATGACCAGTTGGACCACTGGGGTGGAGAAGGCAAGGAGGTGGAGGGCCCAGCGTGCATGCTGATTAGGCCTCCCGAGGTCCATGGATGTCCCCTCTAACTTGGTCAAGACCCGTTCTGTGGCCTGGGCCCACCTGCCTCTCACCTGCATGCCAATGACAGCGTAGATGAAGAAGAGCATGACGATGAGCAGAGCCACGTAAGGCAGGGCCTGCAGGGCAGGGAGGGAGCATCGGCGTCATCCGTGGGCTGCACCCACCTGCTTGCCACCCTGCCCGTCAGCAGCTTGCTGGGCCCTGCCTGACCCCAGGATCCCCAGAGCTCCACCCTGGACTCAGGTTGATGCCCCAAGTGGCCTCCTTAGGTAAGAGCAGTTTCCTGGCCAGTTGGCCTGGGCTTTTGCACCTGGAAGGACTTGATGAATGTCCACAGCAGGGTGCGCACTCCCTCTGCCCGACTCAGTAGCTTGATCAGCCTCATGACCCGGAACAGACGGAAGAAGGCGCTGGAGATGCGGGCGCTCTCATCTGGGTCCTGCGGGGCAGCAGCCCCAGAGGTCAGTCTGGGGGCTGCCCCTTCAGGTGGTCGGGCGGGGTGAGGTGGAGGTGCAGTGTGTGTGTGTGTTGGGGAGATGTCCGTGGTAGGGGAGTGGTTCCACACCCTCCGCATGGCCCCTGCTGTCCATTATCTTTGGACATCCCGGGGCTCATGGCTCTGGGCTGTTGGACTGGGGGAAGGGGTGGGCATGGACGCCAAGCTGTGCGTGAGCCAGTGCTCAAGAGCAGCAGCAGGGATTCTTCCCTGGGGCGAGGCTGCAGCCAGGCCCACTGTCAGCCCTTCTAGGGCTTTCTGTTTATTTCTCCTTTGCCTCAAGCTGCCACTGAGCTTAGTGCCCTGGTGGCCCTTCTGGGCCCCTGGCCCTAATGTCCTAAAGTGCAAAGATTCCCAAAAGCTTGGCCATAAGTTCAGCAGGGTCGCTCCCTATTATCTCCACCCTACTCTTAGCCCCTGCCCTTGTGCCAGCCTTAGACACAAGGATAACTCGGGAAGGGAGACCCCTCCCTGCCCTGCTTCCTGTGGCTCCAAAGGCCTTGTGCCTAATGAATCATCACTGAGGTCCTTTGCCAGCATAGTCCTCTCTGGACTGGACTCTAATCTGCACAGAGGGTGCCAGAGAGAACCCTCACTCGGTTTCCCAGGGCTCCAAGGAAGCCACTGCCTCATGCACATTCTCCCACAGAGCCCCCGCCTCCCCCCTAACCCCGACCCTCAGAGGGTCTGCTCTTAGTAAGGGGGCCCTGAGTGCTGGATGCACCCCATGCGACCATGCAGCCAGCCTAAGCATGCGAGCTGCGGGGCGAGCCGCGTGCGGGGCGGGCTCATGCAGCCTGGAATTACAACGTTCCCGCAGCCTCCACCCAGGCAATACAGTCCCCCGCTGGAGGCCAGGAAAGTCTGTGGAGAAAAGAGACGAAGGGGGGGGGGAGGAGAGGAGAGAGAGGAGGGACACATGGGAGGGAGGTGAAGAGAGGTGTCAGAAAGGACAGACACAGGAGAGTTAAAGAGAGAAAAAGACAGAGAGGTAGGAGTGAGACCCCGAGTGGCTGCAGTCAGGGGCAGGGGACGGTGGAGTGGAAATGAAGCTCTGTGGGTACATGAGGGAACAGGCTGGGCCACGGGAGCAAGAAGGGAGGGAAGACTGGACACAGTCCCTCTGGACTCTCAGATGCATCCACAGGTGACAGGGCTCGGGTCCTTCCTACGGCTGGGGTATATAATGCTGGGGACATGCCTGCCGAGGGCTCACTGGAAAACACCTGCTCGTTCCTCTTAAGTGGCCCCTAGATCCCTGAGGTCAGGGCTGTGGCTCTTATGGAAGTTTCCTGTGGGGCAAAGCTCCTCTGTGGGAGCCTGAGACCCCCCCAGCAGATGCTCCTTGGTCCAGGCCCAGGACCAACGCTCCCATCTCGGTGGCTAGGCCCTTAAAGACCTGGTGGTTGGGTTCGTGGGGGTGACATTTTTCCTGCTTACTCCAAGCTTCTCCCTTAGGCCACATTTCATGAGAAACCCTGTCCTGGAGCTCGTGGCCGAAAGAAGTCATTGTTGAACTTGCACATATCTTCAGGGAGGTGACCCCCAGCACTCTGGTTGTGCCAGTCGAGCACAGTGTCTTGGGCAGCTTTACCCCAGACCACTCAGGTCTCAATCCTGTCTGCATGTCAGAATCACCCCAAGAATTGTTTTCCATGCCTTTTCTGGGTCCCCACCCAGGCCAATGAAGTCAGAGGTTTGGACGCACCCTAGGTCATTTTAATGTGTAGCCAGGGGATGACAACCGTGTTCTAGATCTGTGATGTCCCTAGGGTGGCGGCTAGCTAGGTGTGGCTATTGAATGACAGGAATATGAAATAAAATTAGAAACCTAGTTCCTCAGCTCCACAATCCAGTTCAAGCGACCAGTAGGCACATGTGGCTAGTGGCTACTGTATTGAACTGTACAGAGCGTCTCTATCATTGTTGTGAGAGACGTGCTTCCAGGCCTTTCCCTCGTGTGTATGTCCTCCACAACCAAGAAAACCCTTTGAATTTATCCAGGCCTCCCCTACCCAGGCCTCGGTCTTCAGGAAGTAGTTATTTTTAACTTGGGCTCGTTATATTGATTGTGTAGGATTGTCTCCTCTGACTGTGCTGGTGACTAGTGCTGCTTTTAACCACAGGGACTTTGGGGATGCAGTTTTTCCAGCAAATGTTGAGCATGGATGGAAATACAACACACACACACACACA